AACAGCAGCAACAGCAGCAGCAATAGTGCCGCAGGCGAAGAAACTGAGGGTCACGCTGAAGGAGACGACAGCAAGAAGAAAAGAAGTAATGGAAATCCCAGTCCGCCACCGTCGCCGTTTTACGGCAATCTTCTGGCTGATGCTGATCACTTATTACCGTTGCAACACTATATCCTTCAACAAGCGAAATTATCAGGTAATAAGCCACAAATCTTTCTTACATCGCAGCTTTGTTCGACGAAATATGTTTCATTGTTCTCCTTTTATAACACATAGGTTGTTACAAGTTCGGAGATCCTTTATTAGTAGAAGAAGGAGAAGATTCTTTGGATGAGGAAGGCGGCAGGGGCGAAGGTATCGGCGGAAGAGGTGATGACGATTCCGATGATCAATTCGCGGACGACGAAGCGGCCAGCAATCAAGGCGATTCGTCCAGTCAAGAATATCTCGAGGATCACTACGCGGGTATGAAATTATGTTGAAGATTATAAAATATATGACGCGTTTTATTAAACGTGTAATTAACGATGTATCCTTTCTCGTAAATTTGTTTAGATTTAGGTAATTATGACACCGCGGGCTTAGCGACTTATTACACCACGGCCGACACTCTAACAAGGCCGCAAGCGCGACCGCCGTCACCGCCGAATATTGTGTCTCAGACGGAAGCGAGAGACAGTGTGGTGACTACAAGACAGGTCTCTATACCTACCGTAAGTTCAACTCCAAGTATTGGCATAACGAATGTCGATAACACTGACCTGGATGAAGCGCGGAGAGACGACAGTACGGGCGGTGGCGACATCGAGAAATACGCACAGGACAATCTCAATTTGAATTGCGGCAGACCGAAAGGGTTGAGATTGTTGTTTCGAAAGAAATTTAGCGTGCGGGACATTCTCAGCTGGTCGAAAGATCCAATACCGCAACCGATGCTCGCGATGGTGGACGGCGAGAAGCTACTCAAGAGGGAGGCTTGCAATTTATTCCGATTGGTTCAAGTGTACATGGGAGATCGCAAAGCCAACGTCGGCATGACATTGGACGGCGTCGCCATGGATATCGTGAATACCGCGTTCACGAAGCCACCTCTGCGGGACGAGTTGTATGTTCAGATCTGTCGGCAGACGACAGAGAATCCGCGGAAGGAGAGTCTGCGACGCGGATGGGAATTGATGGCTGTGTGTCTAGCTTTCGTGCCGCCTAGCGCCACGTTCGAGCCCTACCTGGAGGGCTATATGAACAGGCATCGCGATCCCAACTTCCAGTTCCCCGAGGTCGCCAAGTGGCCAATACACGTGCAAGTCAGTCATTATGCGACCGTAGCTTGCAAACGATTGCAACGGATCGGCGCGCACGGCAAACGACAACCTCGCAAGGCCACAGTGGAGGATATCGACCAAGCGAGGGTAATTAATTGCATTAACAATTACTAAAAGATCAATTATCGAGTATAGATTAATTCACTTTGCGTTATAATATAGTGATTCTAGAAATTAGACATGTCTTTCGTGTTTTTCTCATAGATACAAATCTTTCGCGCGTCCATGTTCGGCGCGACGCTCTCGGAAGTTATGGCTTTACAAAGGGACCGCTTCCAGCACAGAGAGTTACCATGGATACAAACAACGCTGACGCGGCAAGTGCTCGTGCGTGGCGGCACGCTGACAGAAGGTATTTTCCGGGTGTCCGCGGACGCCGACGAAGTCAGCGCGTTGAAATCCTGCTTGGATAGGTTCGAAGACGGGGCAATTCTGGCAGCTTCTCAAGACGCTCACGCGCCCGCCTCCTTGCTGAAGTTATGGGTACGCGAATTGTACGAGCCGTTGATACCGGATTCCTTCTACGTAGAATGCGTGTCCATGCGGCACGACGATCCGGAAGCCTCCGCGGCAAATGTGGCTACGATCGTTGAACGTTTACCAGATCTTAACCGTCGTGTGCTGTGTCATCTAATACGCTTCCTACAGGTAAGAAACCATTTTATACATTCTCAATAAGAGAAAGCCGAATGAAAAAATCGTCTGCTATTTTCACCGTGCGCTTAGCCGCGTGCAATCGCGTGATTCTAAATATGTATTTATGTCAAACAAAATACTCATCGCTCTTTAAACAGTGTAGACCTATATATAAAGTAACGTTTAACGCTAGACGCACGGTGAGAGTACGAAGACTCGAGAGCAACATGCACTCGACACCGTTGAATCAAATTGAATAGAGAAACGCCTTTGGAGAACATTATGCTACGATACTGAAACAACTTTACAGATATTCGCTAGACCCGAGGTGGTCGCCCGTACTAAAATGGACGCCAATAATCTTGCGATGGTGATGGCGCCGAATGTATTGCGGTGTACGTCCCAAGATCCTCGGGTAATCTTAGAGAATGCACGGAAGGAGATGGCCTTCGTCCGTACTCTCATCGAGTCATTAGACACCGCTTGGGTCGATGATCTTCACTGACCGTATCCTATCGCGCTAGAAAAAAGTCCGCTCTAGACTATTATGCCAAATGAATCAGCTGTATAGTCACGTCTATTGTTAGTTATCTCTCTTTTTCTCTCTATCTCTCTCTTTCACTGTTCTCAATTTATCTTCACATTCTTTTTGTTTATCCAGTCACTAGTTTTCCCCATAGTTCCCTACATGAATGTTCTTCGTAACAGTAATTTAGTGCTAAAGTCTTACCAAGCTAATCGATCAACCCGCTCCCTTATTTCCTATTTATTATTTATATACAGATTCTATGTTATATGACAGATTTTAGAGATTATATTAGATTATATTATGTATATCGCTATATTATATCATATTATATATTTTACCAATCCCTTGTTACCGCGTCGAACAAACGTGGACGGCTTTTTTACTCAATCATTGTTGAATCTCGTGTAAGATAAAAAAAAAGAAAGAATCATGTGTTACCGTGTATAGCTGCGCTCCGCGATAATCTTTTTGTATAAGCAACGGATTAACGTGTAAAGCGTTTTATCGAGGAGTAAACACTGCGAAAGATTAGCAAGCTGTAGTCGCAAGTGTGTTTCTTCGATTTTTCCCTCGAGATCTCCAGAAACAAAAATAACAACACACTTTATTATAAACTTCCACGAACACACATAAATCTCACATATATTTTATAAAAATATCCCCATTTTATTTTTGTGCAATAGTATTCATACTTATAACTAATAAACTTTATTTTACAATGCAACAATTTATACAGATATAAAAATAGCTCGGAATATTCCTATCACTAACAAGAATTGCCTTTCATTACATGTTTTGTACACTTTAGTTATAAAGACTATGAGCAAGTAGCAGTATAGTTTGTCATCTTTGAGTCACCGCATTTTGCGCATTTTTTTTTATCCTTAAGCTATAAGAGAATATCACAACCTATCGTCATACTCGCATTGCGAAAAAACAATACGATAATCATACCGTCGTACAAAAGAAATGAACAAGTGTATCAATGTAGCCTTATATTAGCGATCACTGAAGACTCTAGCGATAATCACATCCATAAGGAATTAATTTTAACGTGTTAACCGTCTACTGTTATATACAACATGTACATAATAATTGATCAATACTAATACTGAAGAAATCGTTACCAAAAATGGAAAAAAAAAGCATAGCGAGAAGTTAGACTTTTCTGTCAGAAGCACGCTCATGGCTCGTCTGATTTCGCATCTAGACATCCGTTCGCTAAGAATTTCACTTCCCGTACGAGTGCTTTCGCAATCGTCGCGTCTGAATCGCGTCATTAGGCACGATTATTAGGATCTAATCTTTGCTGACGGGACAGATCTCTAGGAACTCGATTATAGGCGTGTCGTTGAAAACGGCGAATTGCGTCAGATGGTTTTGTTCGCGAGTCCGCCGCCTCGTAGAAGCGTTAATTGGTAGCTCGTGCCGCTCGGGCCGCGTTTGAAGAAAGCGGTAGATTGGTCGCGATAAGTAGAGAAAGAAAGCCAAACACATAAAACGTCTCTGCCATCGTCGTATGTCGTCGGCGAAAGAAATTATGAGGATTACGAGGGACCGCGATTCTCTCGTTTCATCATCATTATCATCATCGTCGTCGTCGTCGTCCGACTTTCGAGAAGTCTCCGCCTCCGGATGGAAGAACGATGTTTTATTATTATACGACGCGCCCGAAATGCGATTTCCCGCCGCGGAACGGATTGTCAGCAATTGTCGACGAACGTGGCGGTGGATCCGCTGGCGATCTCCGCGTACTCCTGCCTGCCGGTCGAGCAGAGCTTGCTGGAGAAATCCACCTCCCGTTTTCTAAAAGCGGAACAAAGTTTCATATATATACAAAAAGACGGGGTCATTTTTCTCCGGTCGCGCTCTAGTTGCTCACCCTCTGCCCGGAAGGTCCATGGCGTCCACTCTGACGCTGTTAACGTACAGGCGATCGTTGCACCAGAAGAAGCACAGGGACCTAGGTTGCAGCACGTCCATGTCGTAGACCCAGGACAGCTCGACCCGCCTGATCTTGCCGATGTTGCCGATGGATCCGGTAGGGTGGGCCACGACCATTCGCGCTGTCGACCCGTGCTCCAGTTTCATGTAACCGCTGCGGGAGAAACAGCCCGTTGAAACGGCAGAAGAAAGAAAATTGAACGGGCTATCGAGCACGCGATTGAGCCCCGGTCGTAAAATAATTCACGAACACGCGAGCCCGGTCTCTCGCGATCGATGGAATTCGCTCTCGGAACATGTGCGAGAACGGGGAACGTCGCTTTTCGAGTGTTCACGTGGGCCCTATTGTTTACGATCGCGCAGCCGGCCACGCGAAGCGTGAAAGTAAATAGCCGATTCTCGGACCGACGTGGACGAATGTGTGCTATCGCGGCGATAACGCTCACGATTACTTGCCTGGGCGTGAGGTCCATGTTGCGTATCACGCCTTTGTCGGCGTGGAGAGTGACTTTCATGAAGCCCTGCACCCAGCTTTCCGCGGTCGGCGGTCGGGCGAGGTTGATGGTGATTCTATAATGTCTTCCTAAAAGGTAATTACGATTGGTATTAGAGAGTATTTTGAAAGAGAAAGAGAGAGAGAGAGAGAGAGAGAGAGAGAGAGTGTGCGTGTGTGTGAGAGGGAGATAGAGATCGGGAGGAATGGCGAGAAGCGACAGGGAAAGAGAGGGAGACGTCGTTCGCTGCTTTTATCGCGGTACCCGCGCGCGGAGAAAGTCGCGTCTCTCTCGCGATAGAGAAAAGCCGCATTGCTCGGTAGATATTCTTCCTCGCATCGATAGCGAGGAATTAACGGACGCCTATACAGTTGGGTCGAATAAATCTCGATCGAAATTAACGTTCGTAGCGATAGAGAGGACTTTTATAATCGCGGCTGCTATATATTTTGCACGACACCTTTATAATGCGCCTATCTAAAAGCATGAGAGTACATTGTAATGGAAAGCTAATGGGCTCGACGATGTTCTTAAGCAGTTATTACTATTGGGAAAGTTAATAGTTACCGATTTTTTATTCTACGACGCCGAAATGACTGCTCCATCAGCATTAGCATAGTTTTACATACTGGTAGTATCGTACCGCAGATCATGTAATCAGCGCTCATTATACTAGATATCAAATATGCGAAGAATAGTACGCATTTGAAGCTGAATTTATTCCCATTAGTGTCGCTTAAAAACCTGCTCAGCTGCCTCGAATATTCAACGGACACTCACTGCAATACGGATCCTCCTTGCCGGTCATGAAGAAGAACTTCGAGCCCAGCAAGGACGAGACGTCCTGGCCCATGGCCTGTCGCTTCACCAGCGCCGGACTGGTGTCCGCGTGATAGCCCATCACGCCGCAGCTCAGGCTGTTGTTGCTCTTGCAGGAGAAGCACTCGCCCCGTAGAAAACTCGCGTAGCTCGAGCACTCGTGCGCCACGTACTGGCACTTGGAGTTGATGCTCTCGATGAAGAGCTTGAGCGCGCGCACGTGGTTGCAGGCGACCAGGACGCGCGAGGCCTCCTCGAGGCCCTCCCGTATCAGGGTGAGCGGCAACGACGGCGTGGTGTCGCTCAGATCCGTGCAGCCGGGCTGTTCCTTGCCGTTGTTCGGGTAGAAGTCCAGGTGCCCGCAAGGCTGGCTCATTCCGTACCCTGGAAGGCCTTGCCATGTATACTACGTTAGTTTGGAGAACGTGACTCACGCGGGGAACGCGATGGCTCCATTTATCAGAGGATTTATCGGAACGACGTCTGAATATAAATAAGGATCTTGTCGCGGCGTATCAAAAACTGATAACAACTATTTTTGCTTCCGTATAGTCGAGAGTTTTCTCCTTTTTCTTAATGAGTTCTTGAGCTATGAACTTGAGTTCTGAGCTGACAAGATTTCACAGACTGATAAACCTGATTCCCTTTATAATTCTTTTCATTCACTAAATTGCACATATTTTACGATGTCGCAGTTTCAGTCTCGATAGATTGTCGTCTTTTGAATCGTCCTGATCGATCGAGCCTCGCTAGTTCCTCGTTTTACGCACGGACGATCTCGATAAAAAAAAGTCTATTCGAAGCGCGGTAATGTCCATTGTGCGTCGTTTACCTAAGAAAAATATGCTCTTCCCGTCGGTGTGAATTACGTCCACCAACCGGGCGTCCGTGTAATCCAGGCGAAGATGGCTCGGCATTCCTTGGAAGTACGGCTCCGCGGGGTCCAGACCGGTGATGCGTCCGATATTGCCGCCCAATTTCTCGCCCGCGTAGCCGGCCGTGTGGGCACCGAGGCTGTGCCCGATCAAGTGCACGTCGTTCGGGTCCAGGCCGTAATTTGTCTACATTCAACCAGAATCAATGGATAGATGTGTAAATAAAATATTTTGCTACAATCACAGAAGTAAAAAATTATTTTCACGTTACGGCGTTGATGTGAATACCGCGTGGTCACTCTTCTCTTTTTAAATATTACGCTCGTAATATTTAATTTCGGTTGTGCTGAAGATACAATATTATCTGCGGATCTGAATTGAATTATTAGCTCGGAACGTTTCTCACTTGCAAGTGCTTGATGAGATGAGCCAATTCGAGTCCAACCAGCCTCGTGTTCGCCGTCGCTTGGGTATACAGAGGTAGACTCCCGCCTGCCCAGTCGACCACGATAACGTTGTAATCACCGTGCACCAACAACTCGCTCCTCATCTCCTACGGGTATATAATTCGAGGATGAAATGATGGCAAAATAATTTTCGCGTGTTGCTTAAGAACTGCGTCTGTCATCAAGTGCAACTGTGTCACTAGGTCGCGTATATTTATTTGAAAACGCTGACGCAATGTAGCAGAAAAATATACGTTTCTTTACCAATACGTCTAGCCCGCATAATAGACGACGACGGTCAGGACGATGGAGATGCACGATGTAGGCTAATCTTTGGTACATGCAATTGGCATTATGAGTATGACAATTCGATTGCGAATACACAAAACAAGATTTCAATGGGAGAGTCCGGGATGATAAACGATGAGTATATCTATATAGAAATAATAAACTCACCTTGACCCAGTTGCTGAGTGGAGTGTCTATAAAGCCATGAATAATGAATTTGGTTTTTCGTTTAGGATTGAAGTTCGAGTTTTCGATAGACTTATCCTTGGCCACTTTTAATATTTGACCCTGGGAGAAAAAAGAGACGGGTAAATGTTATTAAGCGTACATTCACATGTCGATCAACAAAGAGTTTATTATTCGAAGAGCTCATTTAAAAACATCAGTTGATTTTAGCTCCTAAACGTGATGCATATGTCGCAGTTTTTTTGCGAAATCAACTTTTTTGCAATAAGGCTATAGCCTGTTTGCAAAACGGCGGCTTTTTTGCGAAAGACAGATCGTTTCTCAGTCAGGCTGATTTTTAATTTCAAGTTTTTTTTAAATAGACTTGGAGTTAGATCAGTTTTTTTATGCCTGCGGCGGAGTAAAAAAAAATTGACGAACTGT